TATCACAAACTTTGTTAGTATTATTAAATTATTCTTTCATACTTTTTTTTAAATGACTGTCCAACGGTCCTCTCATTGTACGTTCACTGTATTGTTAGATCTGTGAAGTTTTAATTATTGATGTTTTGTTAATTTTTTTCTAGACATCATCTACATCTACAAGATTGTATGTGTTTAGTTATTTCTTACCTATTTCCTTGATTATTTTCTTTACATTCTATGTTTTTGCACAGAATTTAGGTCAACAGCAATTTTTCTCCTAAATGTGCTTTATAAAAAAATTAGACTAGAGTTGAGTTGTACCATCACACCCGGTATCTGGGAAACCTTCACTGTCACGTGTCAGTGAGCCATGTGTAGGGAACATGAGATGCACCATCAATATATCAATAAAGAGGGTGTGCAACTGTGTCAAAGCACAACACGGGAATCACAACAGTTTCCACATGGTCAGCTGACATTAATGCCATGGAAATGTCTCTCTCCCCCCCTCTCTCTCACACACACACCCACACACACACACTGTGGACTTTGATCTCCATTTCATTGGGTGCCAGCAGATCAGATTAATTTTGATAGACATACTAATATTATGACATCTGTGTGATGGCGTGTGTTTGTTGTATTTTTAGTCCATCAGAAGAAAAATAGTTTAGATGTCTTGAAAATAATTAATCCCAAATTCAGAATAACATATCTTGTATCTTTGGAAACTCTTAAATCACCTATAAAGCTAGTACAGAATTACACTCAGCAGCCACTTTATTAGGTACACCGTGCTAGTACTGTTTTTGACCCCCATTTTGCCTTCATACCTGCCTTTATTCTTTGTTGTACATAATAAAACAAGCTATTAGAGAAATTCCATATTGACATGATAGTATCACACAGTCGCTGCAGATGTGTCAGCTGCACATCCATGATGTGAGCCTTTACAATAAATCCCAGAGGTGTTCCACTGTTATCTGGTGACTCTGTGCAGTGAACTCACTGTCATGTTGAAGAAACAAGTTTCAGATGATTTGAGCTTTGTGA